AGGGCGGCCGGAAGCAGGGGGCGGGGTTTCGTCATGTGCCCCCCCCGTACCTCACCCGGGGGAACTGCGATCCCCTGCGATTCCCCCGAAATGACCTCTGTCTACCCGTGCGTTTTTGTTTCTTTATCCATTTTCTTCAGGAGAGCTCATCTCTGTTGTTTGGAGATCAGGTGCAATCCCGGGAGATCTCCCGGCTCCGTTAGGAGCCTGTGGAAACTCAAGCTGCAGTGTTAGAAGAGTCAAACAGCAAATATATACACTGCAAAAACCTTATTTATAAGTTAAAGTGTTCTATATGTTCCATCTTATAAAGTGCACTGTGTATTATTCATAATATTCTAATACGTGTATATATTCATTACACATGCAATATCAACAATAATAATCAGTTTGTACAATCTAATAGCTACTAGTCAATTTACATCCTTTTTACACAATCAACCCCAACGGGGGTTTCTAGAATTGTACACCCGCTTCTACTTGCTTGAAAGTCTTCTAAAGGGGGAATTTAAACTTCAATGTAACCACAAAAGGAAACTTCCCCCTTTAGAAGACTTTCATGCAAGGAGAAGTGTCTGTACAATTCTAGAAACTCCCGTTGGGAATGGTTGTGTAAAAAGGATGTAAATTGACTGGTAGCAATTAATCATAGAATGTTAAGGGTTGGAAGGGACCTCTGCAGCACAGCCGAAAGACAGCCCTATGATATACCCGAAAGACGGTCGTCCAGCCTCCACTTGAAAACGTCCAGCGAAGGAGCCTCCACCACCTCCCGAGGCAGACTGTTCCACTGCTCAACCACTCTTACAGTTAGGAAGTTTCTCCTGATATTTAGCCGTTAACGACTCCCTTGTAATTTCCACCCATTCGATCTAGTCTTGCAATCCGGAGCAAGAGAATAGATCCGCTCCATCTTCCACGTGACAGCCCTTCAAATACTTGAAGACTGCAATCACGTCCCCTCTAAGCCTTCTCTTTCCCAGGCTAAACAGACCTGACTCTTTCAGCCTTTCCTTGTAAGACTTGGATTCCAACCCTCTCGCCATCCTGGTTGCCCTCTTCTGGACACGCTCGAGCTTGTCAACATCCTTCCTCAAATGTGGTGCCCAAAACTGGACACAGGACTCCAGGCGAGGCCTGACCATTGCAGGATAGAGCGGAACGACCACCTCCCGTGATCTGGACACAAGGCTTCTGTTAATGCATCCTAAGATTGCATTTGCTTTTTTTGCAGCCACATTACATTACATTGTACATTAGATTGTACAAACTGATTATTATTGTTGATATTGCATGTGTAATAGATATATATACCTGTTTTAGAATATTATAAATCATACACAATGCACTTTATAAGATGGAACATATAGAACACTTTAACTTATAAGGTTTTTGCAGTGTATATATTTGTTGTTTGACCCGCCAGGAGCCTGGCGACCCAAATAAAGGAACACCCCCAAATCCCACCCAGTTTGGATAGCAGAGCCTCAATGGACGAGGATTGCAAACAATGACTCAGGAGCACAAAAAAACACATTTTCCAGCATTCGCCGAGCAGCAAGCTCTGCGCCGAAAATGATGACAAAGTACATTGGG